AGAAGAACGAAAGCGAAACAGAAGAGCAGCAGGGCACTTGGATGTGAACGCCAAACGTTGCTTAACGTTGTGTAGTAGAACGAACAGAGGTATAATAAATTAGAATAAATTCATACTATGTCTTGTTAGAGTGAAATGAAGTCAGAGGCTCCATATTATAGAATGTAGTAATAAAGAACAATGAGTTTTGTCGTTTAACAAGTTGGAGTAAGCTCACATGAAGGAAAGGAAGTCAAGGTTGGTACAAGGAAAGCGGTTTATTAGAAGAGAGTGTTCATATAGAGGGTGAAGTGTTAAGAATACTAATGACTATATTTTTTGCTGTCTATTTTTTTCCTTTTTTTGTTTGTCCGATGCCAGCAACACAATCCTAGTGTAAAAGTCCGAGTTATCATGTTATAGGTTGTCTTAGTAGAATAGCCAATCCAGCATAGTATTGGAAACATGAGTCTGAGTGGTGAGCGTAGGAAAACAATCATAAAGAGCCTGATACATACAACATGTTCTGTCCCCACAAACACGGCTGGATTGAAGTCATCGCCCTCGCCATCAATGCTTGCTGGTCAGTAACTCCACCCTCCTTCCTTTTGTGATGTTAGGCTCATTTAAGCTTATTTTTGTATGTATGTCATACCTCACGCAATCCTCTGTGTTTCACATCCTGTTGGAAAGCACTATTTTTATAAGTATCATTTTACAAGCTTATCAGGCAGTTACAAGCTATGGACTGTGGGTGAGGCATCGATGCAGTGCTTTTGTTGACTATAGTATAAAGTATAGTTTGCCAATCAGAGTATAAGCATTAAGAAGGGTATAATGTAGGATGGTTGTTCATTAAAGTAGGCGAAAAAGTATAGAAGTATATGAGTTGTAGATAAGGTAATGAGTGGAGAAATAATACTAAATGCTAGTCAACATAGTGTACAGAAGAGTAAAAATCTAATAAAGAATAAATAGGTAGAAACTCACATTAACTTGGTGCTGATGTTATTTTGTGTTGTCCTAACCAGTGGTGGTGAGTGTCCCTTAGCGACCGAGTTTAGTTGGACAGTATCGATAGGTCCAATGAGTTACCTATCTACTTCAAGTGAAGAAGTAGGGTGGAAAAATGAACTAATACAACTGCAAAGTAGGAAAAACAAGGCAAACTGAACTTGAAGTCCATTTTGGTCTAGACATGGAGAGGGCTATGATGTCTGAGTGGGGCATAGATGTGTTCGTACGTGCAAGATCAGTGCAAGTGCGGGCTTGATCAAGCAGTTTTACAAACGTATGTAATTCATCTGCCATGCGAATTTCCTTAAGTGTGGAGAATGCTTTCTTCCCGCTGTCGTTTAAATTGGTGATTTGTTCATTTCTACGAAGGTGGTCCGTTAGACGTCCCATGACATATATAACATTCATAAACCGTCGATAGAAACCTACCAGGCCATCGAACGTACGAAATTGCTTGGCTACCATCGGTTCTTGGTAAGCCAGAATGGCCGCCGTTTTAATTTTCAGGGGCGGATGCCTGAATATCAGTAGCGTGTCTAAGAAAATATAGGTAGTCGGTGCCAACTTGACATTTCTGAGTGTCCACAGTAATGCTGTCCTTTGCAGTCGTTAAGAAACAAGGTCCAAGTGTTGAAGATGAGATCCTCTGTTCAGACGTGCAATAGAGCACTCATCTATGTATGCATATACGAGATTGAGACCTGAAAAGTTTGTGCGACATTTCTCAAACCGAAAGGTATGCGCAAATATTTGTAGAGTCTGAAGGGGGTGACGGTAGCGAATTTGGGAATGTAGTAAGCAGATATGGTAATTTTCTTATACGCTTTAACCAGGTCGGTTTTCGAAAAGACAGTTGCAACTTTTAAGGTAGCCCTCAAATCGTGCATGTGAAGCAACTGGTACCGATTGTAAGATCCATTTTGAATGTTTTGTGTGTTGGTGAAAATCCCTCCATGTATATACTTGTACTTTGTTCCTATTGATCCCCTTAGTTATCTTTTGATTACATTTGAATTGTTAATACTTGTATTTTTTATTATAGTTTTTGTTTTTCTTACGCATTCACTAAGTTTGTGTTTCTTCCCGAACTGCATCTGTGTTGTTTTACTGGACACTTGTTCTTGGCGGTAGCCATATTGATTCGCTCCTCCTTTTGTGTGTTCTATCCAGTCAGGATAGAATAACGTTCATTTGTTGTGACTGGTAATTTTCCCTCATCTTTCATCAACTCCTTTATTTATTGTAATTTAGATTTATTGATTGAACAATTATTGGTTGAATAGCCGGGTGGTAATATTTGTTTAGGTGACGATTTACATTTAAATTTGTGATGAATTATAGAACCGCTATTTACCCGATTACTTGTTTTGATTTCGACGGGCAAGGGCGCGTGTCTAACGTATCTGGACGGTTATTCTTCAACATCCAAACCGTGGTTTGGATTCTACACCGATCAAGAATGGTTTTCGCATCCAGTTACCGAGAGTCATCGATCGGGCGCCAATCGTTGCTGTCCATTTTACGGACCATTGTAAGGGAGATGCCCATGAGCCGTTCAATGGCCGACTGATTCCTAAGTTTTTCATATGGTGGAACTCGACTTTGGCCAACCTTAGCTTTTCGGGAGCTATTCGGTGCGATTTCGCGAATACAAGTGTTCATGTAGTCGTGATTTGGTATATAACATCGCTGGTTACGAGATGGCGAACTTTCGTCATCACATCAGTTGTGTACAAAAGCGGCTATTTTTACTCTCCACGGTTGCCGTTGACGCGTGCCGGCCGGGAAGTTTACCGAAGATTTTTCCGTGGTGGATGGTCCAGAGCTCGGAAAAATACAGAGTTTTGTGCAATTTCGAGAAAACTTACCATACTTATTGTGTTTCTGACACCCTTTAGGATTATCTGCCTCTCTCGGTCTAGAGACAGATCATTTTCGTGACGAGCTTTTTTGTGGAGCTTAGCAAACGACTGCTGTTTCAGCAGGCCTTCATCAAATGTCCGTTGACCAATAGCCTCTCATTCGTAGCAACATTTCTGTTGCTGAGTAATGTTGTGGAAGAGGTGGTCTCAACTTTGTCGTTCGGCTAGGTATCCACGTTCAGGGATAGTTTTTTAAAGTTCCGGAAGGTTCCGAAACATCACTAGTAAACATACCAGTTGAGATCACACGGTAGTACCTTCTCTACTGCGGTAAGTTGTGCACGTGGATCGGTCACGCCGTGCTCGTGGAAGCCAGCCTCTGCATAGCAGAACCAGGCTTTGATGTTGTCGGGCCATGATTGCATCAACAAAAAATGTGGGAGGCGAAAGGGTCTTAATCTCACATAACTTAGGAGTCTATTCCGTCATGATGAATACAAGCATAACGATGAGCGAGAAAAGATATCCGAAAATATGAAAACAATGTCACAATATGTGAAAATAAAAATTACTAAGTGGTATACAATGTTTTTCAACAGGGAACAGATACACAGTCCACTGTTTGGTGTACCAGTTAACGACGAGCTCACTACTGAAGACGTCATAAGAATTCGGAGTTTGAAAACACCTTTACACCTAACACCTTCGTAATTGGAGGATACCAAATCAGTCAAATTAGAAGACAGAAATGAAGGGGTTCGAAGTTATATCTGGAAAGCTATCGAAATATCAAGCAGCATTTGTTCTAATCTGGATAACAGTTTTAAGAGATGCATAGCACGACGTACCCATTCGTGATCTGGTGCGGATACGTGACCGAGAACCTTCAGATAGATTTGTGCATTAAAACTAATGGGGTCAGAATCAAAAATGTCGAAGACCTACAGAGCTACTGATTTTGTGGGTTTATTTGCCACTACCATTTCGCATCTGATTATGAGCTATAAGAATTCTTTAAAGCGGCGGAAAACGTGTTCAATGGAAAAACATTATAGACAACAGTTATAGGGGAGAATTGGCTGTAGCATATATCATACAGGATTTTATTTTTCGATCAATGTCTTTTAAAACAGAATGCTTGTTTGTATACATTATAATTGCTAACTAATTTGTTTGATTGCCGCTTCTGAATGCGTCTGCAATTAAAATTTGACTTACTGATTTACCCTCTGTCTACTTATTCGACACTGTCTGATACACATTGATTCATCTGCTTAAAACCATTGTGTTGATTAATATGGATGTCTATCTAAGTAGTACTAGGGTTTCTCAACTGAATAGATCGTATGAGTTCAAACTACATTTTAAAGTTTTCCTTAAATATGATTATCTTCCTAAAGAAAACTTTAGTGATAACGCATTGTCATGGATCATTATTTTTCGCGTTTAGCTGTTGTTTTAGATGTCTTGTTGTATATCATATGAAACTAAAATATATCAATAGTGTATGGCGTATACACATGATATTTTAAGATTTTAAGACTCCTATTTCATCAAACTGAAGCTAAATAGGTAATTTATACCAAGTATACTTTCTCCATGTGGATGATTATTCTGAAGTCGGTAAACTCTAATGTTATTACTAAATGGTTTTTAAAAGTCATGGTGTTTAGCTAAATTCTAAAAATGAAGTTAAATGTATGAAGTGTATTTAAAGTCGGTTACTTAAAAAGAATGCTTGGTTCAATAGAAAAAAAAGCGTGACATGCTTCAGATATCTTCTGATTTACAATGAAAACGAAAAGAATAACTAGTTCACTATATGTTTTATATTTATACAATGAACACAAGTTAAAGCAGTTGATGGAATAATCTCTATATTTTACTACTTAATCCCATCTGTATAGGACAAATGTAATTAAAACATTCAAAAATAATCGTTCATTTTAATATGATTAATTAACTTAGTTAAACAAAGTAAACGAACTGAAGTCATTCATCCGACAAAAGGAATATTAGACATATGTGTTGTTCAAGATTTAGAACCACTAAGTGGTTTAATACCAAAAAACTACTAGTTTGTAAAAATGAGTAAGACGTTATCAAATGAATGATTTTAAATGAAACCAGAAAAAAAGAATTTCATATTGCTTCGAGATAGTTAGTTGGTACGAATTTAATTTCACCATATGGATGAAATTTGACCAAACTCCAATTAGTATTCCCATTTTGACCATAAGATCTTATGATTGTCACTAACTGACCTTTGGAAAATATTAGAACATTTTTGTTTTTAGACGAAAAGTCATGAGTAATTCTGTGAGTTGGTTTATCGGGAAAATCATCATTCATACAGAGTTTTGAAGTTGAAGGTTGTTCTCTCACACTTATATATCTAATGTCATCACCTGAAGAAATCCTGCACAGTTTTTTCTCCTGTTGGTAATCAGACTCACGATACTATGTAATAGAGAAAAAACCGTCAAGAATAAATTGTAAGGTAAAAGTCAGTCCAATTTTAGAACAGTATTCAAAATATATCCAGAAATAAGAAGACCACTATTGCAGAAGACCTACACTTCATGTCTAAATTTAACCTTGACTAGAGAAACTGATATTGAAACTACATAACTAACGCAGTAATAATTTAGTCTTTGAGTATACAGTTTGCTTGTTACACAGTGCAGGAATTCGAATAATAATGAATTTATTTTTCAAAAAAATGTTTTTAATTACCTGTATATATGAAATGAAATATTATAGTTTGCGTAAACGTTTCTATCTTAAATAATAATCCGCTGATTAATGTGGATTTTAGTCTAATCGATTAAAATTGGTGAGCTGTTTTCTTTCACCAGAATAAGCTATGCATTAACATAGCACTACACAGTATCACTTTAATGTTAGTTCCATGTTGAGAATTTCCCTGTACGATAAATTCATAATCGGAGATGTTGAAGAAAGTGTATCTCGATTTAGTAACTATTAAAACGATGTTCAGATTTTTAATAATATTCATTTGTCTACCGCAATACTTCCATCTGTTTGTATGAGAATTTATTTTAATTATCACATCCTAAAACACTGAATTCAATCTAATTAAATTTACGCATTAGGCATAACATTTAATTAAACAGAGTTTGGACACCAAGTAGGTAGTAAGACATGGTTGATTACTATTCACGAAATCCCTCAAAATATTCACCACTACACAGATGCTTTCTATTCAAATAGTTTTCTTTTGAATGAAAGAAGTTGGTGATTTACAACCATAGAAAGTCGTTGTTTTGCTTAATTGTAATAAATAACACTGAATTAGTTAAGAAATATTAATACTTTTGATTACATCATAAAATGGATAGACAATTCATTACTTAATATCAAGAATTCATGAAGGCAGAATTAAAAAACAAATAGTACCAGTTTTATGCTTGGGATTCATCCCACAAATAGTTGAAAAACATGTGGAAGGTATTTGGAAAATAGACACATCTTTATTCTCAATAACAATTAGTATTAACAGACCATATTTTCGATGTAAATATAACGAAAAAAACGAACAAACATCATAGACCATTTATGTATGTCATTAGAATAATCATTTTTACAAAAATAAATCTTTGAATTTATTATTTAGATTAGTGCGTCAATGATGATCAGTAAAGAGGGAATACTTCTGAATATGAATATGTTATGCGTCATTGAAAATTGAAAAAATCTGGAGAATTTTTATATCAGTAAGAACCTGTATATCAACATGAAATGATGTTTTTACATAATCCTAACGGTTTCATTATAAATTTGACTATTCCTCTAGATCTAAAGCTTTAACAATAGTCATGATTAATTAATTGGTAATGTTGTTATAAAATATGTTCCATAAAAGATTTAAAAAATCTTATATTTTGTCTATTTCTACAATGTACACTAAATCGAAACTAAACTAATACGTTCACCATAGAACTTTAACAGTATGAAAAAATATATATTCAACTTACAATAATTTTCATTTCCGGATATGGTGATAAGGAATTTTTAATAACACTTCTAGTTGAAATTGTTTGACAGGGTTGGATATCTATATCTGAATTTGATAGATGACTGCTAACTGACATTACAGCTAAATAAATTTAAGAAATTTTCAAATATATATAACCAGTTAAACACAAATTTACAGTAGATCAAAGTGTGTAGATGGAGAATGTCATAAATTGTTTTATGTTTTTCAGTTTCGATTACACAATACTGGATTCGGAAAATGTATAGACATGAACTACCTTGAAACTTTCAGTTTGACTCAAAATTAAACTAATACAAAATTCTTTTTCTCAAGTTAATCATGCAGTTATGCTTATTCAAAACAATAATACCAATCGGCGTATGACTAAATTCACTCAACAATTATCCTTAACATACTTTGTTTTCTGTAATCAAAGTGGAATAGTAAGATTAAAGCGGTAAATACTATCAAGCCAGTACAGCTATAAGAAAATAATACATGATTTGTGCATTCGATTACTCAATCAAACAAGTGCAATTTTGTTCAGTCAGTCCGGTGAACTAATGCTAATTGTTTTATGCATGGACTATGTGGTTTTTCGTCTCATAAATTGTATCACAAGAACCCTATGGTCATGATTACTCAATCGTTTACAGAAAGGGTGTTAATTGCAAAATCTAACTTAATATTAAATGTAATTAGACTTGCTTTAATTAATCATTTACTAGCAGCATATATGTATAGACATTTCCTCTTGTCAATAAAACAAGAAGTAAGCATTGAAAACCTACAGAACTTGATTAATTTCTATCAATATAAATTTATTTCAAAGAAAAATTGTGTTATGGAACAAAAATAAAGCCGACTAGTCAACAATAATACTTAGAATATTATAAACATTTGGACTATCAGTTTGAAGTTAATACAATAAAACATTGAAAAAAATAGTGACCTAGCATATAAAATTTGAACAACTAATACTTTCAATTAACTTATCATAAAGCAATAGTAATTATTTCGAATATTCAGTTGGTTTTAAAGTTCATTAAAAAGTCAACAATAATTTCTAATACCGACTTGAAATATTTGTTACTAGTGGATTCAGTTCTAATACAGAACACTGATTTGTTTATTAATTACAATAGTTGCAAAAATAAATAATCAATTTATTGAGCTTCAGACAATTTTATAAATGTTTCTTTTTTACTCAGGAATCGGGATAATAATGAAACTATTCAATTTATTTAATACTCAAATACAAATCAGCTGGTTTACCATTATTTTAATGACCTTAAATCCTTAATAACCCATTCATATTGACAAATAATACGTGAAATAAATAAAAGAACTATTCAAGCGTAAAATTCTAAAATCTTACGAGATTCCTGATGAGGTAAATTATTCTTGTCACTACACGTTGATTCTTCTTCCCATTTAAATACACTAGGTACTTCATATATTCTATGAGTTCGACAGCGTTTTTTTTCGTAGAGAAGAGATTTTAATTTATCTAGACGAATAATAAGTTCTGCAGGAGGTATATTACATCCAGGTTGTATAGATATATTGTCTTTTTCAGTCTGTTGAGAATATAAAATGTTTTTAACACTTTAATGAAAGACGTTCTACTATATAAACAATTAAATATTAATGTCTGTGCAAGATTATTCGAAAAGTCTTAAAATTTAACTGCTTTTTCAAAAGTTCTCAAAATTGCAATTATTCTAAATATCAATTAGTATACCAAGTTGACCAGACGGAGAAAACAATTCACAAACTATTTATTCATAAATAGTGTGCTTTTATATAAAACTACAAACAATTAGTAGTCCAAGTCGTGCTGGACATTGAAGTTTTTTTAATCCATTTATCGAGTCTTTGTGAAGGGGACGTGACTCATCTTCGCAGTTACTACCATATCTGATTTCAATGCTTTGGCTGACATACTGTTTGGTTCTGCTGCTTTGACATTTTTGGTTTTTTGAATGGCTTGCTGATTTCCAGTATTGGCACGATGTAATCCGTTAGGAGGTTTGTTTGTGTGGCTTCGATATCTAATAGACTCAGAGGTGCTGGTCTATTCAAGAACTCTTTTAAAAATGCTTTACCGATCAGTTCCGCTGCTTTTGAACCCAAATGATTGGTTGCCATTTTGCCCTTGACTGGTATATCTGGTTTGCCGTATTTTGTTCCTGAGAGCTTCTTTATTGCATAATATAGTTCTCTCATATTTTCTTCTCTTACAGCTTGTTCTGCTGTATTTGCCAGGTCTTCTAGATATTTTCACTTATCACCTCCAATTCTGTCGTTTACTCGCTTGTTTACTTCTGTGAATTCCACATTTGACTTGGGTTCCTCTGTTCTTGTTCGGCTGTTGTCGACTGCCGTCTTCTTGTTTTTTCCTTTCTTGAATGATGCCTAGGTTATTAATAGAGTTTAACTTTATATTCTGGTGCTTCTTTGGGACCAGGCCCTCCTGACATGTTGGTGTTATCATTTCTTTAATCCTTTTCTAGTTGTCCGCTATGGTGGTTCCAGTTTCTTCGAGCATATCTAGTAAGGCTTGTAACTTGTTGCTGAGAGTTATCTTGAATTCAGTGAGTTTGTCAGTGTCTCGAAGGATGACCATACTAAACGTTTGTATTGCTGCTTGTCTGACTGCCCAGTGCTTTCTTAGTTTCAGCCAGGGCACCACGAGGTGTTGATCTGAATCTGTATCAGCCTCTTTGTTTGTTCCTATGACTTTCATGAACCTCATGAATTTTTATTGATGTAAATGTGATTTGTCTTGTTTTCTGTAGTGTGTTCCCATGTAGTTTTGTGTTTGTATTTGTGAGGGCAAGTACAACTACGCTACCATAGTGTTATTGAAAATAAACAGATCTATAAGCCTCTAGTCATCCTTGATTCTTTTTTTAAATTCATTTAGTTTCATGACTTAATACCCTATGATGTTCATGTCAACCTTGGCATTCAAGAATATAAAATCTTTTTCAGAACAGTGCTTCTTCACATTTCTACAGCTACTTGAATGTTTCTTCCAGTCTCCCACATTGTCTGAAGATTCCATGCATTTATATTAATTATTGATCTGATTTTCAGAATGCTCGTGGGTTTCGCGATTTCTATAGAAGTTCCGCTTCCATCATAAGGTGTCATAACTCGTCTATATGAACACTCTTCAACTACCAGTTCAGAGTTTAAATGGTCCAAATAAATTTTTCTGATTACTGTTTTTAATTACGTTATTTTTTACAGTATGTGTTACTATTCCGATACCCAAACCTTTTCACTTATTAGGGACTGGAACTGGTGGTAACCCTCGAAGTGCTTTAGGCAGAGTGCGTCTATTAGTATAAATACCACAATTTAGCACTGAATGTGTAATCAGTTCAGTTGAACAAATAAAATACAAGAAAAACGTTCTGTTAAAAGAAGCTTTGCCGTGATGATAAATATATAATATCTGATTCGTTATATGTAAATATATGAATTGAGCTGGAAAACATTATAAGTGTTTTTGGTATACCTTGTTTCAGCATTAATACTAATAATAGAATATCAACATCAACCACACATTGTTTGACTCATCAATTTAACCATTTTTGCAAAAATGATCAAAATAATGATCACAACCAAAATTTTCTAAGCCTGCACGGATTTCGTAAAAGGATCTGCTTAATAGCTTAAAATAGTTGTGATGTCAGCAAACATAATGTCATAAAGAAAAAACTGTATTGTATTCTACTGTTTAAATAATTTCTGAAGATCTAATAGTATTATTATAAATACATAAAATTACATTTCATTCAACTTATGGATTTTAACAAGAACATATGTATTTACTACTGAAAGAGAATAAAATTTGTACCGTCTTAAAGATCAGACCACATAAGATTTCATAGTTTGTTAGAATTATTTGATAGAAAACATAAATCAACACAGTATTACTTGCACATATTAATTATGCAATTAATTGTTGCTGTAGAACTTATGAAAAATCAATTCATTATTATTCTGTAAATCTTCTATTCATTATGTCACTTGTGCTTGTGATGAATGAAGTATGTAAACTTACTTCTTTTGCACATGATTTATTGACTTAAATTAAACAGATTCACAAGCTAAATTTTATTGTTTTCGTATGAATAGAACGTGTTGTCTAACAACGTTTAGAATTGTCTAGAATTTGTGAAACGTTTGCCACAATTTGCACAAATATTTTATTCAAAAGAATAACAATTTTATCAGTAAAGCAGTCATGCACTTATCATTATACTACATAAAGTGAAAGTTTGTTGTGAAAGTATTGATGTATTCATAAAGTTAAACAAGATGAAATCAGTAAATTTTGTTGATTTTTTCCAAATGCTATGAGACTTCTGAATTCAAGTCATCTAAATAATGTGGTCATTTGAATCTTATTAATTTGCTAAATATTACTGACCAACTCGTTCACTAGTTGGATAGTTTTTACTGAAACTTAGGAAGTAGTTACTTGTCTGACTGATTTTATCGTCCAACACTATATTTTTATCTAAAACCATATCTTGCATCAAAACACTATACTTAAAGTTATTTAGAAAGATATTTTGTTGAAAAACAATGCTTTTGAACGGATTTCTTAATCCATTCTAAGACACACAAACTAATTTCTCACTATAATAAGTTGAAATAAAAATAAGAGTTTAAGGTAATCAAAAAGACTTGTTCATAGTGTTTACCGCATGTGTTTATTTACAGGATATCAGTAAGCCACTAAATCAGGGATTTTAAACCAGTTGAAATGATGTCCAAACTTGGGATAGTATAAGCGTAAAAACCACACCACTGCTATGCTAGCTTAAAGTATGTATTAAAAAGCTCAATGATAAATACATTCGTACAATTCATACTGTTTACATAGACTCTATTCACTATTACTTGAACCAATGGTAAACTTGAAAATGATAAATCAAGGTCATTATGACATTTATTTTTAGAACTTACATCGTTAATACACTTGTGAACTAAATTTTCAGCTTCTTGCATAAGATTTGATTGAAGTATAAAAGCGTATTGACTAGCTGATAATAAAATGTTATTTGCACTTTTTACCAATGAAGGTAGGATATGTTGTAGTCCAAACTGTAAAGTAGACAGATTTCGTATATTGTCTTCTCTTTGTAATTGCATATTAACAACAGCTTGCTTGACAAAAGAAATAATTTCTAATTAATTTATTTAAGAAAAAAGCATCGATATCTTTATAGTATAGAAATGAAATTTCTACTTTCTTTGTATTCATACCTAATTGTATTAATGACAGAAATTAATCATTGAAAGATGTAACTGGTTTTAGAAGTTGATTTACTGATGATTATTATTATTATCATATCCTAATATAGGCCACATATAACAATAATAAATGTATGATCTGTAAATGTTCAAATGAAAATTAAATTTCATAATATAAAAACCTGAATAATAAGCAAATGTTAAATATTGTATTGTATTTCTTAACAAAGCATGGTAAACAGTTTTCAAGATAGGTGTCATTACCAAGGTTTGATTTGATAATTTCGAATAAATTGAGCATTGGGTTGATTGTTATAAATAAAAATAATATATTTGTAATATCCCAATGAGTAGAAAATTGGATTTTTCTGACGTTCCGTGTCCCCGATTGTAGCCAACCTTTTTATGGCATACATAGAATCAAATATCTTCGCCCACAACATTATACCACGAATTTGGCTTAGATATGTAGACGATACATTTGTTGTTATAAAAAAGACTCATCTAAGATCTTTTTCAAAACGAATTAATACACTCTCATCGCACATCAAATTCACGAATGAAAATGAAAATGTACATGGTGAACTACCATTCTTGGATTGCTTGGTAAAAAGAAATCCAAATGGAAGTCTAAACCTATCCATCTACCGAAAGCCGACGCATTCAAATCGTTATATTGACTTCCATTCAGCACATCCTTTCAGTGCTAAGATCTCGCTAGCCTTAAATCTTTTTAGAAGAGCTAACAAGATCATCACATCAGAGGAAGACAAACAAAAAGAACAAATGAATATAATTAGCATCCTACAATTTAATAATTTTCCTATGAAGATTATTAGAAGCATATTAAAACAACACAGTTTATTACATTATAATAATGATTCGAATGAAATGCCTTGGATTGGCACTGTAGTCCTACCATACCGTCATGGCACAACAGAAGAAATTCAAAGAATCTTAAAACATCACAGAATTAAAGTGTATTACAAAACAACGAACACACTACGTAATACTTTAGTTCGCTTGAAAGAAAAAATCCCGTTCATGTCCACACAGAACTGCGTCTACAAATTAGGTTGTATCGATTGTGATGCCTATTATATTGGAGAGTCATCCCGCGAAATCTTGACTAGAGCCAAAGAACATATTAGGTACACAAAGAAACCTCCTAACAATCCTGTAGAACTGAACCAACTTCAAATTAAATCGGCAATAGCAGTTCATGCCATTTTCAACAACCACCAAATCGATTTTAAAAATATCAAAATATTGCAAAAAGGCTTTTCCAACTACAAAGAAAGGAGGGTAGCTGAGGCATTCCATATAATGCTTAATCCCACTTCTCTCAATAGAAAAGAAGGCCTTACCATACATCCTACTTGGACCATCTATCCTAACCATTCAGTCTGATCGTATTTACAATTTCACACTATCATATTACAAATTTAAACTCTATCCTTTCTTACCATATAGGTCACACAGTTTTCATTCTTTAACAATGCACACACACATACATACACAAATTTACATACTTATCACTTATGAATCACCGTGACAGAAATGACATACATCAACTTGTCCAGACCTGTTTTTGATTGATCAAATATTATTCTTGCATTGTTCCATTGTACTATTTAAACTTGGATTAATTTTAATTTGGTTATTTATTCTCTGAAGAAGTGACTTACACTAAGCCACGAAACGTCAGAAAAATCCAATTTTCTACTCATTGGGATATTACAAATATATTATTTTTATTTATAATTTTCAAGATAATGTATAAGTTTATGTAGCTACTTAATTAAGTAAGATATTCGTGGAAAAAAATTACTCTCAAGAGATTCATTCATAACTTGAACGTTATTTTTAAGCGTAACTCTCTTGGTTATGTAAAATACGTCAACTCAGTTTTGATAACATATTATTTTAGGGTTTATATTCATAATCAGTTATCGAAAAAGATATGTACATAGGAAACTCATCGTCTTACATCGTTGACGATATATGTTGACGATAAGCTTTTCTGTATACTTTCGTCTAACCCTACTGAACATTTATCGAGTGAGAATGGACTTTTTTTTAGTAAATTTCTATTGTTAGTTAACACTTTAATTTATTTGAAGTATAGTAAATTAACCAGAAATTGCATTTTCGACAAAGAAGGAATAAAAATGAAACTCCTATGACAACATTTATTAACAGAAGTTTAAATGCTTGCAAAATACGTATTTCGGCAAGTAAAACAATTATAATTCTGTAGATTCCTCTGACTCTCTTTGACTACGGTGAGCTTGTTTTGACTAATGAATAATGCTTTCGTAAAAGTAGATTACATTAAAATTGATTATATAAATTGGGTCAAATTTCAAACTACTCGTTATTTTGTTGCTAACAGAGATAAATATCATTTAATGAATTTAAACAGAATATGGTTACAATCATGCGACTGTAAACCAAACCTAGTAACGAGTGAATATAATTATATTGAAAAAATAAATAGCTCAATATAGTAGATAATCAGTTCACTCAATATATGGTTTCAAAGTCAGTTATAAATGTAATCAATAAGATATGATCTGCTAGTTGATAAGCAAAGTGGTATATTTCTACTACTTCTATGTGTACTACGGTACAGATTTCATGTAACAATGAATAATAATGGCGAATTAATTCATACTAAAAGAAAACTCTATGACGGAATTTAAGTAAATGAGTCTTTTAATGTTGATGGGTTTAAAACCAAACCTTATTTTACTTTATTTATATTGCTTTGAAAAATGTTTTTCTAAGGGTAAAATCCATGTATTGTTATGGGATTAGGTATGGAAAATGCAAGAAAACTAAGTACTAATTTTTTTGGGTTTTCCAGTTTACTTTATTACTTCGTATAAACTATCAAATTACCACTTTTAATTCATGTCATACAGTTATACTTGTATTTTAACAAAACAAACTCAACTCAATTTAAGTTTTCGATTCTCAAGATGAATATGTAAGAAAAAAATAACCTATCAACTGTGTGATAGCACACTATAAGCTAAAACTTTCACTGGAACAACATATAGAGAATTACTGGAATTCCCTGAATAACATACCAGGAATGATGTCATTCAGTATAATTTTGTTGATTAGTAACGCATAACTTGAATTGTTAGCTTTGTTTTTTAGTGTATCTTTGGGACTATAAAAATAACATGCATGAGTAAAGAAAAATCCATGAAATACCTATCCTACTTGATTATTTTGTGTTTTTTACTGTGTTCTTTCTTCGTTCGTCATGATGTGATGTTATTTTCTTACTGATGTCCTCTAAAATGGAATTGTTTCTTGTCTTGACTACAAAAAATTACCAGATATGTAAGTTTGATGTTACATTTTATTTTACAAATCGTAAACTACTAGAAAGAAAGAAAATTGCAAGTTGTAGATTTGTGACAAAACATTTCATAAATTATTCTCATAAAATGTGAAGCAATACACATATGTAAAGTTAATCATTGAAAAGATAATATTTCTTGACTAAACTTACAACATTTTTATGGTTTTTCATTGAAGCCTCCATTAAAACAATGTTCAATTCTGTATTATCGTATTTATCCAAAAGACGCTTTGAAAGATTTATTAATTTTTTCAATTCATTTAAACGATTAACTACACTAGATGACATTTTTCTCAACTGCAACACAAGTTCATGAAAAAAACAGGTGTATAATATATTAAATGTTCATCATCTGGTCGATAAAGAAATCATTTATTAATTTACTTACGCCTGTTAACCATCGTGGAGGAACCTAGGTCGCCCACCAGCATTCCACAGCCAATCCTGTCCTCACTCATTCTTTGCAGCTGTCTCCAGTCGCCGTTCATTACTTCAATATCTGCTTCCAATTCTCGAAACAATCTGTTTCTCGATCTTCCTCTTTTCAGTTTCCAAGTTTTTCAGATTCCAGTTTAGCGCTCACCTCATGATACAGTCTGATGATTTCCTCAGTGTATATCTTATACACATCCAACGCGTTTGCCCAAGTTCCTCTTCAGATGGAAGTTGGTCCGTTCTCTCACACAGTAGATTGTTGCTGATGGTATCCGACCAACGGACGTTGATTATCTTCAGAAGACAACTGTTTATAAATACCTGTACTACTTCGATGTTGGTTGTGGTAGTTCTCTAAGTCTCATCTCCGTACATCGGGACTGTCTTGACGTCCGTATTGAAGATTCTGAATTTTGTGTTGGCATGCATACAGTTGTTTGGAGTTCCATATATTCGTTAGTTGAAGGAATATCGCCCTTGCTTTGCCGATCCTCGCCCTTACGTCTGCACCAGACCCGCCTTATTCATCGATGATGCTGTCCAGATATGTGGAAGTTGCCACCTATTCCAGAGTTTCTCGATCAGTGTGAGTGTGTTGGTGTTCTCTGTGTTGTGTTTGAGGATGTTAATTTTCCATTATGTATGTTGATGCTTACTTCTCTAGAGGCTACTGCTTCAGCAGGTGTCTTGACCTACATTTGTTGATGTGTATGAGGTAGACGAGCTAGGTCACTTACGAAGTCTTAATCGTCTAGTTGCATCCAAACTTTCCATTGTACTCCATGCTTCCCCTCAGATGTGGAGTGGAGGTCTTCATAATCCAGTCAACCACCAGAAGAAGAAGAAGAAAGGGAGGATGTGAGCAGTCCTGTCTGACACCGATCTTCATTTGGAATGTATCTGTTAGCTGTCCTCCATGCATAACTGTGCAGTGTAGTCTGTCATATGAATTCCGTATGATGTTGACGATTTCGTCAGGCACACCAACAGTGTCTGTGTATTTTTCATACAGTTCGCCTATGCACACTGTCAAACACTTTCTTGTATTCAATCAAGTAGATGCACAGTGATGATTTTTATTCAATTGATTATTCAATGATGATCCGTGATGTATAGTGTAATCAGATGTGAGTAAGATGCAATTTGAAACCAAATATATTTGAGAAATCATCGGTTGACACATCTGACAATCTCCAAACATAATAATTTGCTGTCATTCAAGCACAAAAGATAATTCAATCAAATCACCTAGAACTAATCATGTTTTTATTTACAGTCACGTAACATACAAATATTTGTTGTTCAAGCTGCCGGTTGTCTTGAAACTTCAGAGACTTTTTTGTGATCGTGAGTGCGTATCCTTTAGAAGATTTTCTGCCGTATTGAAATAGCTGTCCAATATTGTTATATTTTCAGTAATTGTTTTACTGTACTCAGTGTAATATACATTAAATATCTTTCTGGTGAAATGTAGATCGTCAGTCATATCTAGATGACTTCACACAAAGATGTAAAACACTAATAGTACGATAAAAACAAAAATAACGTTTTATTAATCAAATTGATCAATTAAAGCCCTATTCAGAATAATTAGGTAAGATGAACAACCCAAAAAAGTTAAGTAATATTATGAATACTGTAGTAAAATGTCTTTTTATTTTGAAGTATAATTCAGTGATTTGGAATGAACGAGGTTTTTAAATGTTTCACAAATCAGAATTAAATGAAATAAAAACTTAATTGAAAATAGTTTCAAACACAACAAATTAAACCAAACTGAACATCTGATACGATTAATGCTATGTTAATCAAAACAAAAGCTTTGTATGGTATGTAACATAAGTGCTTAATTTCACTGTTACCTACTATTTAACATACAATCAATTTGAAAATAAATTTTAATGGAAAATATAATTTACTGAAGAAACTAAGTAGAATTCTGAAGATAGTGATGTGCATAACTTACATATATATCATTCATATAATGAATTAATGTATCAAATGCAATTTCACAATTTATTATTAAATCGATAGGTAATTCATTTGATGAACAATTAGTTGTTGGTATATCAGAATGAAGTTTAATTGTGTTTCGTTGTAAAAATACTTTTTTCAGAAAAAAGATAAAGTCTTTCTGTGCCAATATAAATCTCTATAAAATAAAAACAATCATTAAAATAATTTAATACAGTAAAGTGAGAAATTTCGAGAAGAAAAATTCAAAGCTGAATTATAGGATTTCTAATTTTAAAGCTATTTGTTAATAAAAACAAATTTGATTGAAGAAGAGCCTTTTATCTAATGGATATGAAAACAAAGCCGTTTATCGTTTAATGTTAGGTGATGAGGAATGCATCATGATTTTGGCAATAAGGATAAAACATATCCTTCTCTAACGTATTCAGGTATATAATGCCCAATGTTTTTGAGTACTTTAAGTGTAATTTAGTCATCTGTAAAAATTAACATAAGTAAGCTGATGATTATATTTTAGTTCATAAACAGTACCTTGATTAACGGATTATAAGTTACCAGTAAAGTTATTTAGCGATTTCAATTATTATCAATTATTAACAAGATCTTGTTAGGTAATTCACGATAAATGGAGCACTGGGTAAATTGCTTATTAGAAAATGAACATAGCCTTTATACTAAAAGTGTTGGGTTAAAATAAACTCCGGTAGGTCATTTAATTAAACTATTTATTGTTAACTGATACATGCAATTTAGTACGTAGACTTTAAATCTGCATATTTAAGCAGTGAGAAACTTTGTCGTTTACCTGAACTTATTTAAAAGAGCAATCAAAGTTGCTAAAATATAGGGCAAATAAAATGCCAAAAGTGGAAAATCGGAAAGACATTCATGTAATGGTGTCGAGATTCTAACTTATTCCCAAGGTAGGTTTATTGCAAGACAATATAGAATTTAAGCTTGCTATAATAACTCAGCACTATGAAAGTGCTTCATGCCGAATGAAAGACAGAATTCCTTCTTGGTCTAAAATCGTATCTAAAAATTGATTATGTTCATTGTAGTGCATTTTATATTCTAAAGTCATCACGTGAAATTTTGATTTTCGTCAACGAACATTTAAACTACGCAAGATCGGGTGATTATCCAACTTAGAACTTAACGAGTTCAACTAGTAGCGGTATTAAAGTTCCTAATTTGCGATACTGCCTAGCGGTCATTCGTAGCTATACGTGTTAATAGCAAGCTAAGCAAAATGTTAGTATACAAAATACTGCAAGACATGTGAAATTTAGTTATTACTATAGTATTGTTGAAAAACCTTTTACCATCAATAAAACAGAATTTAATGTAGAATTTTGTTTATTAACAAGCGCACGAATTGATACTTAACTAACGATAACTCATTATCACATTGGTATATCTAGTGCTTTTTACCATGTTTGTTCATAATTTTGACACTGTTGCAACTTGAGGACATTTGTTTATTGGTAACGATGTACACATCATGGTGTTTTAATCATATGTTTAATTGTTTCTTTTAATTCAGGAAAAGGGTAATTACTGAAAACATAAAATACGTAGGCTTCAAATGAAGGATAAAATAGAAAACTTGAGACTTTGTTGTTTTAATGATTCTTTTATTTAGCCAAACGGAAGTATATTTGTATCAATAACAGATCAACTAGAAAACTAATAAACAGCTACTTTTCCAAGTTCAAGAAGCCACGGCACTGTATCTATAAAACAGACCCATGGCAAGTATAAAAATGTTTAGACACAAATTCAGCATTCTGTAAATGCTTTCTTTAATCCCGGACGTTTTGTATAATCATGGAAAACTGACTTGCTCCTTACGTGATTAAATGTAAGGTCTTACCCGAGTTTTCTTACATCGAGACTCAACAGCACTCTGTAATAATGCACATGATTTCTCGATGTGATTTATGGCTTCTCGTTCTGTTAGAAACCTTTGCTGAATCTGTCAACAAATGAAAACAACAGTAGAAAAAAAGTAAGAGTGCAGCTGTTGATTTAAACAATCGTTGCCTAGACAAGAACTTAACTCTGGTTCACGTTAAACATTACGTATTTTCGGTTTAGAGTCAAATATATTTCATGCTAGTGTTTAAATACCTGGACAATAACCCATTTAAAATGAATTTCTAGCTAGTTGCCAAATTTGTGGTTTAGTTTAGCGTCGATTAAATATTAAATAATCTCTTGGGAATAACAATTTTTACATTTGTTTGTTCACATAACGCTGATGGCACTCTATCGATCACGTTGTACTTCGACCAATAGCATATGTAAGTCATCATCCCACAAATTACGTCATGGTGTTAAGTAGCTAAAGGCAATCTGAAAGGAAACCGAAACATAAGTTTCTTCTTAGTTTCTATTCACCCCCAGCATTTCTCTGTAATCGTTGACAAAGTGATGTTACCCTATGGATTTGAACTTGCATCATTCAGGATCAAGTGTATTCCACAATATTCAAAGAGCTTAAGTAGATTTTCCGGACAATGCATTCACTGAAAACTCAGAACTCTAATTTTCTGTCTAGAGTAGTGGAAATGATTTATTCTCAAATGTTATTAAGCTATAACTACTTTCAGAAATAAAGTCGAGGACAATTTACTTATTAAGAATAACCATTAATAATCCGATCAGGTAATACAGAGACAGGACCTAATCAACCATTAAAAGTCATTGAACCATTTTCCTTCAAAATAAAAACAAACTGCTTGATACGAACAGCAATATTTCTTGATAGAACTGGTCAGTACTGTATGTAAAACACTTCAAATTCAGGCAACAATGAAGACATTTTACAGGAATTTACAGTCCTATTTTTGACAGAAACTAGTTATCTTAGATTGAATTTCCAAAAGAACAGAAGTTCTATACAGCTGCAGATTGTGTAAAATCAACAAAATAAGGCTGTTAAAATTCTTATTATCACTGATTCTTCTTGTATTGGTTAGAAAAACCCCTTAATTGCAATAGGTTTAGAAACAAAGGATTAGTATATATATATATATATATATATATATATATATATATATATATATATATATATATAGACTTGCACACAAAATCAATACTATTGGAGTTCTTTTCGAAATTTTCATCACCAAATCAAATTGCAGTTTGTCAACATCTTTAGGAATAAAAGAATGTTGTCGCAACTTCTAACTTAGTTGAAGGTTGGCTGATATGAAACCGTTACGCGCTTATTGTTAGCAGTTTATAGTAATCTGACTCCTATAGAGCTGTTTAACTATCATACTTCACGTTGTATGCTAATTAACCAATATGAAAAAGTGGTTTTGAAATACATATCATTGTTGTTTACAGAATAATACTCATGTTACCCAAATGGATTTTCATTATCTTCACTACTTTCATTTGCTATAATAAAAGACAAACAAGTTACTTAACAGCCTACTTAACAAACTGATTAGAGTTAGTTTTAATCCATAAAGCGTTTAGACTATTTTGTGGTTACAGATATCCTAAGAAGAATAGAATGCAATTTAGGGACCTCCAACGGGCTGTCTTCAAATATTCAATATATTCCATTGAGGTATCGAATGACTTAACCAACCGGTTATGTTGCAGATTCGATTAATAGAATTCATTTGGTATTTTGGTCTTGATGTTAAAAACTGTTTGGCTGTAAAGAAAACAACCACTTAAAGGCAATCTTACTTTACGAGTAGCTTCTGAGCCTGAGCTACGTGCAGCCTTTGCTATTATTCTTTTAGTGCTCTTGTCAACTAATTGAAATAGGGAATATTTTCGCGTTTCTTCAGAAACACTGGCACCTATAAGAGATAATGAAAATAAAAACAATAATGCTAATAAAATTATTGTGTAAAATTTAATTTGCATTATTATGTATAATGATGGTTAGTTTATGATAGGTTTACTCACTTACAAATTAATCTGACACTCTATCTAAATAAATACAAGATTTCTGGCATATACATCCAATAACACAGCTATTATAAGCCAACTGTTTACCAATAATTGATTCGTAAACACATAGGGGTAAACACTTTGTTGTTAATTTATCAAAGTGTAAAAGTTAGTTTTAGATGAATTATGACTTCTCAAGATGGATTACGTGTTGCAGAATTAAAACAGACTAGCACTTTAGGTTCGAAATTTTGTAAACGAGTAAAGCGTACTTAAAACCCGCCAACGTAATTAGTCTCGTGACAACCATCTACGTGTACATTTTTGAACAACTATAATCTATGTACTAGTTCCTAATGCATAATTTCATACAATATGACGTTATAAGTTCTAAAGCTTTTCAGTTCCATCCTAAGATTTTATTAAACATTTAAATGTCATACCCTGCATAAACATAGTTATTTAGGACTTAGAGATAGTCAACGACATAAAGATTGTCAAAATATCCACAATGTTTAATGATAATGCATTTTGCATGATTACTTGGGGGAAATTACTATTACATTCATTGTACGCCTTCATTATAATATGTGGTTTAAGATGGAACACTTGATATCATGCTATAACTTACTCACTGAATAACAACAGTTAGAATTTTTACAATACAATATGACTTTATTTTCGAAGCTAAAACTACGTTCAGCTGAATAATCAGTGGAGTTAAAAATTGAATAGTATATACGGACATCAAAATTATAATAGTTTAGTTAATGACAGTTAGTGTTTGACCGCTTTGTTCCTCATAGATAAAATCTGATTTCTGTGTAATTTTTTACGAAATTGTCTCTTCGTCCAAATAATCCATGGGTCTGTAAGGATAAATAAAATTATTATATTCGGAATTATCGCTTAATAACGGTATATGAAGTAAGTGCTAATACTAGATAAATACCAGCCTCCTTAAGGTGGATGGATCGAAGGTGCAAGATCTAAGTTTGTTAAAATTATTTGAAAGTAGCTTTCCGCTGAAATACTGAGTGGAAATTCAACCCTTCACTTCTTGAACTTCAGTCGATTTGAGTTATATCCCATCGGTAATCTGGTGTCATAAGTGGTCCTAATCTCCTTTTTGATATGGTTGCTTTGTTTCAGAACAATTATCTGCTCGTGATATTTTCATTATATATTTGTATTTAACTACAAATATTTAAAATCAAGCTGTTTGACAGTGCATCTTGTAAAAATTTATTTAGATATACTATAATACTATATTTAAAAAAATAGAAATGTAACTATGAGATACATGTAGAAGTTAGACAACTTGAATGAATACTTACAAATCTCTTTCCATCGTTTGACTTCATTCACCTCATAGGCTAATTGATCAAAGTTATTGAACATCTGCGTAGTTGCCAAACAATCTGGATGATTTATCGGTGTTACCTAAATATCGAACATAAAATAATTGTATATATATAATTCTTTGACTGATGTCGTATTTATGATGACTACTTACTCACCGTATAAACATTTTCATACAACCACATCATTACATAAAAACCATAGATTCATTACTAATTAGCTTCAAAATACTCGAACAAAGGTCCTGATACAGAACTGTGACATAGAGAGTAGTTAGTTCTGTAGTAAAACTGTCATTTATAGTAGATGCTAGATAAAAATTAATCTGTTCTACAAATAGTGAATATTTAACATGATAAATATTGTGCTTGCTTACAATATATTTTAAATCTTAAATGTCGAATTCAAATTCCCACAACAGGAGTTCAAGATATTGACGCTATATTATTGAGTAAAGGCTAACTCCTAATACGTCTCGTTTATGTTTACATATTAATCTATAGTAGAATATTTCGTGAAAAAAAGCAGAGTAGAGGCTAAGAATAACATTAAACAATGAATAAAAGATACTTATAAAAAGCAAATGTCCTTGTATGGCCGAGCGAGGGGGGAGTCAGCTCTCTCTTTCAAAATGCTCTCACATGGCCACGCGTATACAGCCACTGCCTTCTCGTGACGGGGGTGTTGTTTACGAAATTGAGAGGGCGAGAATCTAATGTTCAGCACTTTAACTGGGTCGTTGAATGTGAAAGATCCACCTAGAGGAGTTGGAAAACCTTAACTTCAAACATGTGGTGCACATGGGCTTCACAATCCTGAGGGACTAAAAGGTGTACAAACCCACTGTTGATTACCGGTCACTATGAGATTGTGTCTACTAACGCTACTCCACTGAATGGTGGATTAGACCTCTAGGTGAAAGGCTCGGAAAGTTTATCTCTAAGAAAACGATCTGCTTCGGTTCCGGCGTCCGGGAGGTATCCCAGCCCCTACACAAATCTAATGATTTGTGTAGCGCATATATCTTTTGGGTCTCCTTGTACCAAAGTTTATGTCTTTAAATAATAAATAAATATTTTTTAAAAAGTCTCTTTAAAATACAAAAATAATTAGTCGCTAGGAATGAAAGTAATAAATGAGCTGACCCTTAATATACACTGTTTTTTTTCCAGTCTGATTAATAAGAGTATTAAGGGGTTTTTTAAGCTTCAATCAAACAACATAAACGAGAATCAATTAATGAATGTAATAGATTTCTTATCTAAATATTTGTTTTGTATACGTACTCACATCTTTCAATAATTCAAACAGTTGTTTTAACTTAACTAATCTTTGAACTGGTTTAATTAATTCATCATTTAAAGTCAATATATTTGGACGTTCGCTTTGAAGATTTTTGAAACCAAGCACGGAAAATGTTTGAATTTCTGTATTCTGAAAAGAAAAATATATTCATTTCAATACAAAGACAAAATAATTGAAGTAATTTTATATCATTTCATAGGTATGTCACAGTCTTCTCCCAAGAAGAAACAGAAATATAAGTGTAACTTGGAATGTTGTTGAACTTCGTTTAGTAGATTATGTTCAATTGTTATAGCATTGTTTAGTTGTTCATGAAACTTTCCAAAATTTCCATATCAATCTCTGAGCTACCGATCCACTTACACTATGGTAACTAGTTATTTTTTATGATGACTGATAAACAATGGCTATTACTAAGTGTGCTACATTTTAGTAGGTTATTATCATCTATCGATTTGTAAGGACGTTAAATATTATGTGGCATAATACAAGTTTATGAAATGCGGTTGCTTAATAACCTAGATGTATGGCATTAGATAGTCTACAATTTATGTGTCAATCTTCTACCAAAAATACGACTAATAGTATAAATCAATTTTCTCATCTAAACTTAAACACAAAATTGAATTATTACACAAAACATGTTGAAGAATTGTGTTTTTATTTATGAGACTCAGAAAGAGAACAGATGTTATTACTCAATATATCAATAAATGAATAACAGTAATTAACTAACCTTTGTTGAAGCATCTACTGAAAAATTTAAGATATACGTCTTCAATGCTTCATTTATAGATAATCTGAACGAATTTATACATGTAGCTATTAATGTAAGGCAGAAGTTGTATCCACAGCCGCATACAAAAAAAATCAAGTATATTAGTTAACTATTTTCAGCAATATATATATATATATATATATATATATATATATATATATATATATATATATATATATCACATTATCTTAAGAATATGTATAAAAACATCATCTTATAATAAGTTTAGCTAGTAGATAAATACTACATATATAATCGCAATCAATACTGGTTATCCTAAAATCGCTAACTCAAGTAATTGGAACATCATATTTCTGAATCTACAAAACATTCTAACCATCTTCACGTTAATTTTCTTTCTTCCAAAAAACAATTTTTAACATTAATTTATTCACTAAAATCCTAGTCTTTGTGCTTATAGTGTAAATAAGTATTATATACTACGAGACTATTACATGACCTTTTACTGGTATTATGATCATCTGTATACAAATAAATACCGGGCCAGATACGTTTAGCAAGATTTCTGGAGTTGAATGAAAGCTGTAAACCTGAGCATTATTCTCCTTAAACAGTTTAAACCATTTCCGCTGAAATAATTTTCGACTTTAGTGATAAAAAAGTGACAAGATCAATATGGTTTCATCATAACATAGGCTCACAGAAATGAAGTCATATGTAATTAACGTAATCATTGTAAGGACAATCCTAACGTGGCAATGTCTAAAATATATACATTTTATTGAAAAAGTTGTATTACACATTCAGCTGCTTTAAAGATATAACATTTTCAAATGGGTAATTATTTAATAAGATATATAAGAATACATGTGCTAACTAACATCTTACCGATACATGCATTACCAACTTGGTCATCACTATATGTAGATATTTCTTTTTGTAACTCCGTTGAAATATCATCAGAAACACGTACCAATTGATCCAAATTTCCCAACAATGAATATCGATTGGATTCAGTAACCTGATTTTGTATACAAATACAATGGAGAGATAAATTACTATTTTGCTCGGTGAAAATTTGTTGAATTGACGCTAAAGTAATGATGGAGGGAATCGATTTCTTTATTTAGTAAACGAGAACTTATTCCCAATAGACGTTTATGTTTATATACATGCTTGCGGAATTTTTAACATGGAAATCAGTAAGTGTTTACTAGATCAACAACTCGTAAAGAATTAGGCTTAATCCATCTGTTATCGGAGAGCTTCGATATGATAGATAACTGCATGGAGTTTCCACTATTGAACGTGTTCTAATCTAAACTGTAGTACTCATGACGGTTCAAATATTTTTGCGAAGGCTATCAATTTGATAATTCCTAATTTCTATTCACCTCAACGTCAAAATACAAATAAGCGGTATGTTTCGCTTGATTACCACCCTCAGTCCAGTAATGAAACTTAAATCTGATAATGTTACTGTGATTCAGGGTACTGTAAAGTAAGAGACTGAAAAATAATATGCACACAAACATGTTCGTCTAACTACTGTGGTAAAAACATTTAATAAGTCTATATTTTGTATGGAATTATTAATTCCATTTATAAGTACGATATAGGTTGGCACATAAACTATCATTTCGTCATAAGCTCATCAACTTAAGCAGTTATGTGACCAGATCATTTAAAAGTCAGTAAGCTTGATTTATTTATCGACGACGTGGATTCCCTTTTGTATGGAAAATTGGGGTTTTCAACTTTTCGAGATTACTGTTAACTAACACATCTTTATTTCTTAGATTGTCTAAAATGAATGTAAATAATTTTTGTATACTTACATGATTTTCTGAAGATTTTGATATTCAGACGACATTGTAGATAATCTATACTTAGTAGTTTGGTGTTGTTTTACTAAATTATCGTTTGTACTGCAGAAATATGCAAAACTACATAACATTCCTTTCAACATCAAAATAATTATGTCAGTATTAGTGATAACCGTTTTGTTTTCAAAATAATGTGAAGAGAGATTACGACATCACTTGTAAAGATATTTTGTATAATTTTTTTAACTATTTCTAAATCTGATGTCCAGAACACTGAAATAAAATCAAGCGATTTAAAATGTGAATTAATGAATATTCATTATGCATTTTCATCTCTAATGACGTTTGAAATTGTAATTTTTTGAAAAAGTAATAAAAAGATTGTGAATAAAACAGAGGTAAAAAAAAGTTGTTTATTACCGTTAAACCAACAGAATCAAATGCAGTCAAGACATTTTTCATATCTGATACAAAGTCTACTTGTGTTTTCACTAATTCTTTTACTACATGTTTTCTTTGATTAAATGACGCTGATGATGATGTTGAAGCTGGCACGGATCCTAATATCGATACTGATGAACTTGAAGAAGCAGATGAACGAGGTTTTCTGGATTTACTAGAAACATCGTCTCCATTATTTGAAGTCTCCTCAGACAAAATGAATCCATAACTCAAATTGCAGCTTCTCATTGGTCTGTAATAAACAGTATTGTCGGAAAGTTTGCTCACAACTCTTCGACTGTCTATTGTAGTGACTGGTAGATTCAAGCAAAATGAATGCGTTTTCTTTGACAGGTCTGTAAAACAGTTGAATAGAACTATCTTTTAACTGGAAACTAAAATGTCACAGTAATTAAAAATAAAATTTCAAACCTATAACTTAGAACAAAGATGCTAAACGCATAGGCAATCTGTGTAAAATTTTGATGTAAGCAAAATTTAATTCATATTCTAGTTATGTAACATTTCAAAAGTAGCATATATATATATGATTGTTTAATTAAGTTTTAAGAGAAAACATGGTTATTTCTGGTCAAATACTCCTATTTTATAAAGTAATAATATTATTAACTAATAAATTGGTTAAATATTTATTTGAATATCATGTAACATTAACATTAGCAGACACCAAACTTTAAGATCAACAGACCAGATTCCATAAGGATCAAAAGTGCATCGAAAAAGACTTGACACTGTGGATCATTGCTTAGCAATCAAGTGAATAGAAATCATCACAATACATCACCTTCCTTGACTACAAGAAAGATGTTACGTGACTGTAAATAAAAACATGATTAGTTCTAGGTAATTTGATTGAATTATCGTTTGTACTTGAATGACAGAAAATTATTGTGTTTGGAGATTGTCAGATGTGTCAACCGATTATTTCTCAAATATATTTGGAACTCCAAACAACTGTATGCATGCCAACACAAAATTCAGAATCTTCAATACGAACGTCAAGACAGTCCCGATGTACGGAGATGAGACTTAGAGAACTACCACAACCAACATCGAAGTAGTACAGGTATTTATAAACAGTTGTCTTCTGAAGATAATCAACGTCCGTTGGTCGGATACCATCAGCAACAATCTACTGTGTGAGAGAACGGACCAACTTCCATCTGAAGAGGAACTTGGGCAAACGCGTTGGATGTGTATAAGATATACACTGAGGAAATCATCAGACTATGTCGTGAGGTGAGCGCTAAATTGGAATCTGAAAAACTTGGAAACTGAAAAGAGGAAGACCGAGAAACATATTGTTTCGAGAATTGGAAGCAAACATTGAAGTAATGAACGGCGACTGGAGACAGCTGCAAAGAATGAGTGAGGACAGGATTGGCTGTGGAATGCTGGTGGGCGACCTAGGTTCCTCCACGATGGTTAACAGACGTTAGTAATTAAGTAACGTTAAGGAATAATAATTCATCATTTCAGTTGCCCAACAGACAAAATAGAAATAACGCATTCTAGTAAGCAGATTTATAATGCTTAAAAAAGTACAAGTACATAATGCGATATCATGTAGTGTTTAGAATCTCTGAGTAGCCAACAATCTCATGTTGTTAAGTCTTATTGTCGGAATGAACTATGTCATTATGCCTTACGTCCACGTTTTAGAATGCATGACTTGATATAAAAGTATAGTTTGTTCGATATACATTTTTAAAATTTACTGACAATAAGCTGTGCACGCAGCTTTTATTGATCAATGGCAGTCAGTATCTATGGTCTATCCGTGTAAGTTAATTCTGTACGGTACAATCCGGCATTCGCAGATACCACCTCTTCGGTTTCCAATAAGAACACTGACTGTCATTTCTAAAGGAAAAGGGCAACAAACTTCACTGGAATTACAAAAAACACGGCTGGTGAAGGCTAGTCAGTGAAAAACTATGTCAAGAAATTTCCAGCTAAGATACTTAAAGCTTGGTCACGGTGTTTTCACTGTACTCATAAAGTTGGCTTCGATATGTGAATAACAAAGACTTCTACAAACATAGTATTTCATCCTTGAAAGTTTGTATACAAATTTTCAAAAGGTGAACTAACGTTAGTTCTATCCTGTTATTCGATTATATATTTTGTTATTAATGAACATGGTCTTTTACTTCTCATGTCAACAGTCTAGTTTTGTTAATGAATTATAAGAAAACGTAAAATCTAAATCTGACGTCTTCAGTGATCTTACAGTTTGATATGTGGCAAAACCATTCTAATAAGTTTTGATTGGACTACATCATCTAACTAACCGATATTTTGGTGATCACTGGATAGACTATAGATCTAGTGGTTAAAACAACCTGCTAAAAAGCAAGTCAGCTTCTTAGAACTTTTGCCATTCACCATTCTTTTCAGGTTAATGCACTATCAATTTTTTCACTGTTCCTATCTTTATTTTTAGCAAGATTCTGTCTCTTGAAAGTAAAATGCTGGGTAACAAACAAGGATTATCCTTACTATTAAGAACAATGCAGTAATAAACTCTATCACCACTCTTATATTTTTCTGTTTCTGGTAAATATATCATTCGATCACTGACGATAAACTTCACTTACTGATGCCTTCCAGATATGATATGTACAGCACAAATGAGAAATCAAATGTGATATTTTGTCTAAACAGCATTTTTGTAGAAAAATAGAGGTTTCAGACATCGAGATTCCATAGTACTCTAAAATTAAACATATTTGCTACGCTCAGTTACCCGTTTATTCTATGCTGTTTGTAGCTTTGATCATCATCATCATCATCATCATCATCATCATCATCATCATCATCATCATCATCATCATCATCATCATCATCATCATCATCATCATCATCATCATCATCATCATCATCATCATCATCATCATCATCATCATCATCATCATCATCATCATCATCATCATCATCATCATCATCATCATCATCATCATCATCATCATCATCATCATCATCATCATCATCATCATCATCATCATCATCATCATCATCATCATCATCATCATCATCATCATCATCATCATCATCATCATCATCATCATCATCATCATCATCATCATCATCATCATCATCATCATCATCATCATCATCATCATCATCATCATCATCATCATCATCATCATATCATCATCATCATCATCATCATCATCATCATCATCATCATCATCATCATCATCATCATCATCATCATCATCATCATCATCATCATCATCATCATCATCATCATCATCATCATCATCATCATCATCATCAGATACGAAGACTCACATTATATTGTTGTTAAGATTTTCAAGTTTATTACTAATGATGTCTCTAAGGCTAAAATCTTCAGTCTCTGTTTGCATGGTATTTCTCTAAATAGATACCACGATATTCCCTGTAAGTATGTTGTTTGCCATCCCTAAAGTATTTTAAGTGAGTAGCTGTGCACTCAGTTTTCAGTGGCAACAAAATTGTTCAGTGAGGTGCAAATACGTCCGTTGATTAGTCATAATTAAGATAATACTATTTTGGGGACAAATCTGTAAGCTACACCCTTCATGGGCTTATTAAGCAACAAAGATGGTAAATAGTTAATCAATTCATTCGGGAGAGAATGCGATGCGAATTGTCCATTTACTTCACTTTAAAAATTAACAGAACCAAGTTGTGGGATGGAAAAATACACTATATGTTGTGCACAAAATAACTGTAATAGTATTTTAAGCAGAGATGGATTTTGACTAGGAACGAAATTCAGTTCAGAGTGACCTTACTGAAGATAATCAAAATATTGTGAAATACTTTATTATTATTTAAAAGAATAGTTCCCTGTTTTTATGGAAGTAAATTATTATGAGATTATACAAATACGAAGTAAAAAAAACACAATAACTATTCGATATATAATCTCGGATAACTGCTAAATACCTTATTAATTTTTGCGACATTTCAAAATGTTTCTGCAAAAGGCTTTGTGTCTAGGTTATGGGGTGTCATGCAAAATGTGGTGAAATCAGTTAGCTGAGAGATTCGATTAACACTTAGTGTATCGTTTAAAGATAACGCTAACAAAAATCATGAAATAATGGTTTTATAAAATATCAAACAGACAATAAATTAGATTACTTTATCCTCACAACTTTAAAGTCAAAATTTCAATGTCTTCAATATGTACAACCTGAAATGATTCACTGTTATACTTCAGTTTACTCTATCTTTTTTGGTCTTTAGTGCGATATATACATAGTGAAATCTTTCATTTATGTTATCATTATGTTTAACTAAAACCCATAGAATAATCGTAAACACTAGAAACTTTAATACATTAACTACTTCATATATAAATGAATCGTCTCATTTTTACATTATGGATCGAAGGACAACTCTATTAGCTTTGATGAACCAAAATGACCGATTGGAAAATTTCTGTTTTCTCTATGGGTGCACTAAACTTTAGCTAGAGTCTTGAGGAAATAAAATGGAATTTCCTATTAGTGATATTTAAATGTTCTACATATGCTATGTAATAACAAATATCCAACCGGATTTGTATTCAAAAGAAATCGTATGCAGAGGTAACAATTCTAATATTTAGTAAGATAATGTACATCAAATAACCCTTCATGACTTATTGATAAAAGATATTCTGTTACATTATTGTATGTCCTGATTATTTTAGAAGCTTTTATGATATATTATCTGTGTGCATTTGCGTGTCCTTTTTTAATAAATGATGAGCTTTAATTTCTGAAGTACTTCTGATTAAGGCAACAACATCAGTAAGATCTCATAAGTTTTTAGTCGTTCTCTTTGTAAATTCCATCAAACTTGAATTCACAGCTTTTCTTATCCAAGCACAACCGTTTGGACGCGATAAACTGTTTACTATGTAATCGATGACAAAATCATTCATCGCTTCCGCTATTTTTAGTTAATGTATAATATTTTCGAGTTTTTTATGCTTAGTTCCCTAGATATTACTACACCTATCGTCTTTGTTGTTTTGTATGCGGAAAAAGTTTGATAAGGGTTTAATACTATATCGGTGAAATCGAAATAAACTTAACATATAAGAATTATTGTTCTTCCGATAAGACGGAATCCTTGAAGTTGAATTTAGAAGGATATCTTTGTTTTCAGTAAAAAAGCACAGTGCAGATGGATGGACAAAAGAAGTCAAACCTTAAACCTCGTTTTCAAAATTCCATAATATACAAAACGAAAACTAGAAAACAATAATAGAGATTCGTGAATAAATTTTAGACAGTAATAATTTGCATTGTAAAGAAGACTAAAGCATGAGAAATCCGTTAAAAAGGACAGAAACACTGGAGGTTTTCTTTAGCAAAGTCTAAAACAAATAATCGCTTATATATCTTCAGAAGTTTGCATACTTAACGATTCTATTTCGTCATAAACACAACAATTGGAAACGTAAATAGAATATATTTGTAATATCCCAATGAGTAGAAAAATGAGGTTTTCTGACGTTTCATGATTCAGTGTAAGCCACTACTTTAGAGAATAAATAACCAAACCAAAACTATTCCAAGTTTAAATAGTACAAAGGACCAACGCAAGAATATTATGTGCGATCAATCAAAAACAGGTCTGAACAAGTCAATCTACCCAATGCTTAATTTACTCGAAATTATCAAGTCAAACCTTGGTATTGATACCTACAATCATAAACGTATCGTATTAACTTACTAATTTCATGCTGAATTGATTCCAGTGAAATTTGATTGTCTCTCTAAAACAAATAAGACAGATAAGGATAAATTTTCGGTGTTTTTAGACTAGGATTGGAAGACAAATTTGTTGTCTAATCATAACAGTTTATCAAACTAAAGATCTATGCTAAAATTCGCTTTCGAACAAAACATTTACTGTTCGGATGTACTCCATGCTACAACCTAAGAAATGAAAGAGTAAAAGTAATACATCTATACGCTATTTGATTTTCCTGAAAAATCAGTATACAGTGGGAAACGTCAATGTAGTACGTGTTGACCCACGTAGCTAACATAATTTCCTAACTTCAGGTAATATGCTCGAATAAAACACAATGTGAAAATGGAGTTTTTCAATGGTTATTCGATAATAACACCTTATGGTACCATATATGGCTGGAAGATACCTTCCGAGTAATTATATCTAGTTAGTTCAGAGCGTATCTTCAATAATCCACATTTAAAATTACAATAGGTTTAAGCTAGAACCATAATAATCTGAATACTCTATACATTCTCACTACGATTTACGAAGAAAAGTAAAGCATGACTTGTTCTATCAGATATCATTAAAATTACTTACTATTTACTAATGGGAAATGTACTACTGGTGTTACATGTTTCCTATTTAAGAATATATATTTTATTATTTGATATCCATGAAGTAGAATGTAGGTTGTGTTTTGTCTTTTCACTGGTTGGTTATTGTTTTAGAATGTCTGTAAATGTACTGGTTAGTAAATACATGTCTAGGCATTTTGTTGCACCTACTGAATAATATTTCTATTATAATTTATTTTTATACTTAATTAGTTGTGGGACCTTTATTCAAATGGTATACAATGGATCAGACCTGGAGAGTTTGCTTTCAGAATAAAAATATCCAACATGTAATCCACGCTAAAAGTTGTTTAACTAGCTGACATATAAATAACGAGACTGACAATAATAAAAAAAAACACCTATTTTGGTATTCATTACGATCATAATTTTCAAAAATCACACGATGCTATAGGCATTAAAATTATATTTTGAAAGTCTTTTAATAAGATTTATTCGATCACATTTACAGGAAACATTACTAAATCTGAAAGCAAGTCGAAGAGGTATATTTTTAAAATTGAATAGAAAATATTATGATAATTTTTTTATTACAAAAATCTGCTGAGAATTAATACATTATTTTCACTGAGTACAGTAAATAATAATGGATGGACTCTAGCTCTCAGTAGAACTCAGGGCAAACATTTCATCTTATTTAGGACTCCTCAGCTTAATGAACATGCATCCTAGTGTTGATATTCATACTTGTACTTGAACAATTTTCCTTCCGTTATCCACATAGCTATGAGTTGAGGTAGATACTAACTTGTTGAACTACTGTTAGCATTATTATTATTATCATTAATGTTGAATTATCCTGGTGTTAATATTAAGGACTGGGCTTTGTTCCAACTTTTCGCATATGTGAATTCTTGGTGGATTTCCTCATTATTTCATTTGAGTTTAAGTTTTAGTAAAGATGAAGTATGGCTAGCAGTGGCATTCTTGACACGCATATTTGCTTCTCTTTAGTGCTTAATATCAACAATTTGGAAACCCATACCTCAACGTCTATATGACTTAAAATTTTTTGGACAAGCTAGTGACCATCTCGACTCAGTAGCTCAGTGGATAAGGCGTTGGGCGAAAGACACTTATTCGAGCTTCGATATGAGTGTCAACACTATAATGCATGTGCATCTAGCTGATAGGTACCAAGTAGGAATAAATGAGCCTCGAATAATTCAGTTCCATTCATTATCTAAGTCACCTTTAGCTTAGCGGTTGTATTTATGAGAACTTACCATCATTTGAGCAATTATATAACTGTTTTCAACTACCTTAAAAATCTATAATGGAGCACACCCTTTTTTTAAATAATCTAACGCAGAATCGATAAACTTCGAAACAATTATTTACACTTTAATAGTAATGAGTTAATTAAACCCCACGGAATTTTCTAGAGAGCTCTGAAAATACATTTTAGTATGCAGCGAAAAGTATTTTTTAACTACTAAATGAGAAGTAAATACAAACTATTTACATTGTATTCATTTTATTTATACCCAATATCATAACTAATCTGTTCTCAGATTCACAATTTATCACTATTTCGTCAATACGAAATTCGGTAATACTACTTGTAAGTGTTTGTAAGTATCATATATAAATCCTCGGTTAGTAAAATCAAGCCAATGTACAGAATAAAATGGTAATAGACAAAAATGTTTGGTAATGTTTGTTTATTTTCATTACATATTCTCGAAAAATTTTAAAAATTTCAACGATCGAGGTTCTATCAGAGTTGATAAATTAGTTCTTTACTTTTTTGCTTTTGTTACTACTTATGGTGAGAAAAACACCGATTTTCATGCAGAATATTTTATAATTAACAGTTAGATTCACATAAATAAGAACTTTATGTTACACTTCGATAGTTACCAGTTCTACGTAATATGTCAAATTTAAGCTGATATGAGGTTCCAATAATCACACTGTATTACTGCAAACTATTTAGTTAGTAATGTTTGTGACTTGGGCTTTTTTTACCACTGACTACATCTTAATCTTTTAACACTTAAATTAATCTCCCAGTAGGTCAAAATAAACCAATCAATCATATGTTTTGATTGCTTATGAAAAAGATATAAAGCAAGAGAGTGGTGTAACGTTGAAAAACTCATCTGTTTGATGTCATAACTGTTTTTTTCTGTTGACTTGAAAGCACATTTAGCTCAGGATGCAAGCGAATGATACCAACTTTTCAAGACATACAAGTAAATTGTACTAAAAAATATCTACCAACTGTCAATATGATAAAAACATCTACGACGGGCGATTCCTCTTAGTGTAGGAGTAGGATGGAAGAAATATAAGACCATCTAAACCAAATCATGGCATCGGTTCATGAAGTCCTTGAACTGAGCCACCTTAATAGGTGAAGACTACCTGGTCAAGGCCCACGTGACTATCGTGCCCAATAGTTAGAGACTTTAAATGATATAACTCAAAATCTTTTGCAATGGTGCAGGTACATCCGTTCTTTGTCTTCCCCCGAAGTTTGAGATTCTAAATTCCCTACAATTTTTTTGTATTTCAATAACTTATATTTTTCTCTTCAATCGTATCTTCTATGATTAATCTTCCCCATTACTACTGATGCTACTACTACCTCTATTATTCCTGGATTTGGCCTTATAACGTCATCTCTATGTGTTAATGGGATGTGGTAACTTCAACCGATGTACACACTACAGGTTCTACGTCGTGACTGACACACTAACTACAATGACGTTATTACAAATGTTAACGAAAAATGTCGTTGGTTGGTTATATCAAAAATCTGAAAATTCGTTTTTGTTTAACGATCAGTAAGATGATTTTACAAGGCCTAGTTATTGAGAAGTAATTAAACGACCTGATGCACAGCTTAGAACATTTTATATTTAGTTTAATGGAAAATAAAAGTAAAACACCTTTTTATCAGACGTCGCTTGATATCCAAAGCTCACTGCTTATTTTATTCAGCCGTTTTGAACGTACTCTCATAATGCTTAATTTTTCAGCAAATGTTCAGTATTTACGAATAAAGTGTTTAGCAGTTTGTTCATTAATATAGCATGCACTTCCATTACAATAACTATCTCAACCAACAGATATCTTCAAAGCCTTCGGTAAGGGTCATTGAATCTTTGATATAGTGCTATATTATAGTTTGAAGCTCCTACATCAGACTCCTATGTTGTATTTCTTGTTTAAATTCGATACAGAAAAGGCCAGAGATTATGGTAAACACTTATACACTAACCAGTGATGTTATTTTATATAATTTATAAAATTCATTATTATTATTTTTCTTTTATCCATGATATAATGCATAACTTTAAAACAGTTTTAATGTGATAAAAACAAACACGTTTCTGATGTTAGCACTGTACATTTACATTTTACACTACAATCAGCAGATAATCTGATTGGTTGGTGAGACATGACAGCTCACATGACTAATGCTAAAAATAAGCCTTCACTAAACTGCTTTCATATTATATGTGTTATGTCTATCCTATGGATTAACTATTGACACGCTTTAAACAAAGAATTGATAACTCAAAAAATTTATAACCAAGGTTTGCATTAAAAAATCGATATGTTTAGCTAACTTCATACTGTCATCTCATGATAAAAAGAATAGTAAAGTACAAATATATTTGTTGCTGTATAAAAAGAAGTCGGTTCACAACAACTCACTCGAAACGATAAACGTCTCTGTCGTTCTTCAACTGGGACAACTACAATTTGATAAATAAAAAGATAAAAAAGGGAAACATTTTGGGAAAGAAGATGGTCTAAATAACAAAAGTGGTGATTAAAATATATTACACTGGGTACATTTGTTTATAGGTGTTCTCAAAATACCTCAAATAAGGAGCTTAATAATCCTACAGTGAATATAAATGATCTTTCTAATCACTATACTTTATTCCAATTAAAAAAAGACAGAATAATACTAAAGCTCAATAACCTACATATTTTCCAAGATATAGAAATATAGTCTGTAACTAAAGACAAGTGTTCATCTAAAGGTTATTTTCCGATCTTAAGTTCGAACTAACAAATCCTTCAGTCTTTCAAAAACAGCACATCATCAAATGAAAGCTTGCTGGTAATATGGTTAAATTTATTAAAACAGTAATAATTGTGCAAGATTAAATACAGTAAAATGTACATGCTTATTTGTCATAAAATGTCGTCATGGAAATTGAAGTTTGCTTAAGTGATTCATAAAAATCACCGGAAGGTTATTACGTCTGTAGTTGTGCTAGTTGGCATGCACCGACTAAACGTTTACACTTACGTCATTAAATTTTACATTAGGAAACGTAACTGCCGAACGAAATAAAGTTTTTATCATGGTAATATTCATCATATAGTGAATTTTTGACGATATAAGTAAGAAACAAGACCAACGCTACATAGTGTCATATTATGATTAGCCACACTTTTGGATTTACGATCGATCAAATATTAAATTCAATTTGTATTAATGACTATTATTTTTCAAGTTTGAACACAAGGAATCGACTCCATATTGATTTGGTTTTGTTGAAAAAACCTTTTTAACTAATTAACAATCACATGAACACACCTCTTATAATTTTGAAATTTATATAACTACTTAATTTAACGATCATCCGCGAAAAGTGATTTTTATTATGATTTAAATAATGTGACTTTTAATTAGGTATAGATTCTTTTAGCTGTTTGAGAGTAATCTCACGTGTTATAGTTACTTATTCCTTCAGTAAACTGTCTTTTTGGCTCTTTTTCTTTGTTACAATCAGCTGTTTATAAGACAGTCTGTCGATGAAACACTCAATACTATCCTTAATTTATGGAACTGTAAATAAAAACTATTCTTTACTTCGTAGGTCAAAATAAACCTATCTAGAAGGTGAAAACAAAACAGATTTCATGTACGAATAAAAGTTATTCAGATTAAGCACATACCTATAGTTCTGCCTTCGGAAGATATCATGTAACTATTTGGATCTTTGATGTCATTATTGGTAATTAAGAAAACAAGAAAATTTCGGAAATTTCTAGACTAATAAATTTTTAGTTTTGCATTTTAAACCCCCTTGAAGAAAATCCTTAAAGACCTAGAATATGTTGTCCCTTATTGACCTTTATCTTTTCTTTGTTCTTTACATTACTGTCCACTTATTATTGTACCCTATCTCTTCAAAATTGTTTCCCAGCTAACAATACAGAAATGATGTAAAATAATAAACCAGAGTCGAAAAATATTGTTGAAAGACAATATTTATTTGTCGCTCAGTAGAACATAGTGTTACAAAACGATTGAAGTATTTCCATCCCGTGTACTATCACTACATAATAAGCTCATGATTATCACTGAGCTAGATTCACGTCTCCAACCTAAAAAATTAGGATACACCCATAATAATACTAAAAATAATAAAACTAACAGTATAACGGTTAACCGACATAATAAATGTACCCGCTGTGAAGTACAAGTAATAATACATACATTTTAGAAAACGTAGCGTACATAAAGTATACTGTTTTAAAATTTTGGGTAATGTCATCGACGCCTACTTCAAGTATAAGTGAACACTCTGATTATTCCAGAATTTCATGCAGTTAGTTCCCTTTATAAATTTAAATAAAGCAAGAACAAATATTGATGCAGAATAGTATGAATTCATAATATTTCGAGGTTTCGCGTTAGCTGCTTACAACCAAATATGTAATAGAATTTTACATTGAGATAAGAAATAGTGTGAAACAATTGACATAAATGAGTGTAAATGATTGGAATAACAAAGGTTTACAATAATAACTATATATATAAGAACAGGTCAGAGGTTAATTGGTGTTAGAATTAAGGAAACAATTCAGGATGGGTGGTGCAGTAGTTGACTGGAGTTCATAAATTGTGTAGTAATTTTAGAGGTAGTGAAGGATTCATGGAATTAAATAGTGATAAGATAGGTTACGTAATAACTGAATAGAGTTTGAAAAGTTCACATAATTTAAGAGGGTAAGTGGGCAGAAATGTATGAATGAAAAGTTGGTTTAAGAATTCGGTAATAGGGGAGGAATATAACACCAAATAAATATTTTAAATTAAATAAATTAATAAAATAACACAAACAACCAAAAAAACAATAAAAATAAAACAAAAAATGGATTACCAGGGTAATAATAAGTTTACTACTGTCTCTTTTTGAATACATAAATCCGGTTTAAGTTTGTTTATCGCGATCACTTCAGCAAAACGGAGAGCAGTTGTATTTCTTTGCCTGCCGATAATTTCAAAAGCGTGCGGAATGTCGATGGTATGCCCAGTGTCAAGTAAATGCCGAGCTATTGCACTTTTGAGAGCCCTAATCCCTCTCAGCCTCAAGTTTCTTGGAGCATACTGTGTTAATCAAATTCTCATTTTCTATTAATACTCTAAACTATCAGTGACCCTAATATGCAACACAGAAGTTTCAGATATTGATTAATACTAAATGTTTCCAGTTGTTTAATATCTTTTAAGTGAAACAAAGTGTATATACTATTAGTAGTATTGATTAACAATGTAAAGTATGCTATTTTTTCTTACTTGTGATATTATTAAAACTCTGACGTTTTTGTTTGAACGATGGGTTATGATCTCTTTGAAGATCATAGATAATTGACACAGTTTTCTGTCCACTGTAACTTCTCATCACGAGGGGCTCTTTATCTGAACATTTTATGGCTAGTTACAGATTTTTGAATATTAAAAAAGACAATTTACTTTCATTTTTGTTTGTTACATGTAACATTTGACTGAGCTATTTATGTCACCTACAATAGTTCAAAAAATATCAAGTGAATGGTCAAGAAATGTCCACTGCTTAGATAAATATAGAAAGATTCAAGGATCACTCATAAAGCTACCGAGAAACTATAAAATTTGAAATAATGGAAATCTAATAACGTGATCAACACAAGACTTGCAACCGTTTGGATTAATCCCTCTTGAGGTTATCATTTGTCAATGAGTAGGAGACCCAAAACAGAATGAATAGTAATTCAATAATGTCATATTTCCCTTAGTTTCCAAAACTATGTTAACATAAAATTTATCTTCGACCAACTCAAAAAAAAATTAATAGCAGAATCAAAAAACAACTCGGTTGATAATAACCTTGGGGTTCGTTTGTAATTTTTAATGAACTCATAGATACACTATTTGTATTGCTATCTGATCCATACTGTTAGTTGCAGCTATGACATTTTTAGTGCCTAGAAATGTCATGAGCTATACAACAAATATTTATAAGTGCTTGCTCTTATTTTTAGAAAAACAAATAGTATAAAAACTACAGTTCTTTTTAAAACCAACTTTATATGCCGTACACAAATAAAGGTAAATCCTCCCATTTCTTTAAATGATATTATTCCGTATTCTTTGTCCTTTCACTCATTAATAGTTGGAAGAGAATAACAACCAATACATCATTAAACCATAATAGATAACTTTTATCTGCTATTTTTACAGAGTTCTTCCTTAGACTGTGAAAATAACTTTACTTTGTCTCACTGATTTTGTAATTACTTTTCGAAAATGCAAATATGGCTATTCTTGTAACAGTGACACTGGGTTTAAATAAGTAGTACACAACAGTTGACTGTGACTTAAAAACACCGTATGTTACTAAAGATTTTGGATAACAATGTGAGCTTTTATCGCGAGACTAGTTACAAACATTTCACATTCATCTGATTTCATATTCATCATATTCACTTTGGAACAAAGTAGTTGGTTACGTTTGTAGTATAAAATAAAAACGTCCCTAGGCTTAAATAAGGCTACATTAAAGCATATTTAATTTGAATGATCTATGAAGAGAAATGAAAGAATAATGTAATGATAGAGAGCTTCGGGTTAATATCTTCAAAGCACAATGATCTAGTAATCTGCTAAAGTTGCTGAAACAACAGACGGAACTTTAACTTTAAAACAACTGAGCAGTGTTGCATTTAAAGGTTTATTTAAGTTTGTAATTTTTTTCTAAAAGAAACGTTTGTTATATCACACAAAAATTCAATACTGATTTTAAATACTACTTACTGTTCGGTAGTAAGGTGAAAAAAATTCGAAACTTAATTTTATCAAAAGCTAGGTTGTTTCATTTGTGATAAGAAATAGGTTAACTGGTTTAGTAATAAGTATGGTAGTAAATATTTAAAATATACACAAAACAAATAAACACACTAACTGATGCTTGAAATTCGTTATAACATTGTGTTAATTTATATTACGTCCTTGGCTTTACATTGTGAATCACTAATGTTTATGAGTATCACTAAAGACAGCATAGCATTCACTAAAACGATAGTTGAACTTATTGGTAAAATTAGTTTTACTAACTATAACTAAAGCAATACATTATTGAAAAAATCAAGTATTCACATGCTACTTTTTAAAACCCAAGTTTGTGGTCTTCAAAGCGATAGACGACTTGAGTGTAAGAAGTTACAGAGAAATATACAAGAGCTTGGATAAACATTTTACCTCATTCTACTTCTCTTCACTATCCTACCTACTAGCAAATAAAATGATAAATCAAAGCAAGCGTGAACCGAGAAGAAACACTAGATTTCAAGTAGATGAACCCAAATATAAAGAAATAATTAGTGATAAAAGATATTGTGATGCTTTATTAAACCAATCAAAATAGTTAAACTTATCAATTTTTACTTAAGTATCAGATGAAATGTATGCTCATCAATGCATCGACCCGTTTAAAACAGTCTAATTTTGTTAATGAATTATAAGAAAACGTAAAATCTAAATCTGACGTCTTCAGTGATCTTACAGTTTGATATGTGGCAAAACCATTCTAATTCCCTTAAACGTGAGATGATCAGTCCTCACTGTGGATAAGATGGGCTACTAGCTACTAATTAGTAGGGATTTAGTTCATCGAAGAAAAACAATTCGAATCATGTCAAAAGTTTTTAACCCAAATATTTTTAAACAACAGTTGGCGAAAAAATGTATCAACACTTCATAAAAACGGTATTATCAAGAATACAAAACAAGCCTCTTTCATAATTTCTAATTCTTCATACCATGAGCTTCTTGCTTGTCTATATATTAGAAATCAGGTCAACTTACTTTTTATGATATTAAAATAGCGTTCCCAGGCCTGATAGTAAGATTCCTATATCTAAAACTTTTTCTAGACTGGTAGTAGTTATGTGAAATTGTCAAATGGTAATCTTACTTTTGTTACCATGATTCTACTCCTACAAAAGTGAATTTATCATCTACTGAGTAAAATTTTGGTACGGAGAGGATATATCATTCAAAACGTGAGCTACAAGTATTTATTAATGTCATTAAAAAGCATAAAAGTGTTATGTAGATTTTTGGTTGAATAAGTCTGAGCTTAGTTTTTAATACTCTTGTTTGCTAAAACCAACGTTCACAATTTTATTAGTTACTTAAAAAGATGATACGCTTTCAAAATGACATGTAAACAAACGTTCTAAAATCCAGCATTATTATTACAAAAACAATCAACGTATAAGTATACATAGGGAAAAGACTGATAGCCTAATTCGTTGATTTTTTGAGAATTAACCCGTGCCATATTTATCTATCCTACAGTGTTAATCAACTTCTGTCAATGCTAAGTCACTCAAGCCAGTGGTCACGTTACACATTGATCAACGGAAGTCACTTAGATAAATGAAAGATTGGTTACTACTCTGTGATTAATTAATTGCAAATATTACAGTCCTACAGGAAGTTAGTTGAGCTCCGAAAACTCCAATAGTAACATAATAAACCTTGAAGCTGGATGGTGCGGATTCAAATCTCATAACAACTACCGGTTCCCTAAAGGGTATGTTCTGGTGATTAACCTCAGCAAGAACGAAATCCAGGTCGAGCAGGTTTTCCGGCCAACGCTCTCTAAGCATTTAACATCATAACAGACCTATAACCAGCTTGAAATCTTCATGATTTTTAAATAGCAAAACAATCTCAGCTACTGAATCAATTCTAAGTACAAGGGAAGGACTCTACATTTTTTACCCAATACGCAAAACTGCCTTTGAATAAAACGATATGGTGAAGAAGTGTACAAAAAGAAAACTCGAACACTCCAAAATAATTTTCACAATATTGCAAATCTATTTTCTTATGAAACATGATATATTCACGTAATTACCCGATTTTTCAATTAATATTAGTGTCACTGCTGAAAATGTATTTGTTGATTCATAGGATAGTGAATTCAGCAACAACTTCAAGTTCATCCTCATAATCTGCACACAGCAATGCAAAATGTCTACATTCGGTAAAATTCTGTATGATTTGCGCTAAATAACCTAGATAAATTAAAATGACTGTTCTTACTCGTCTTACAAACCTAGAGAAAGACGAATAAAAACATTTAATTCATGTTTTGAACACGATATTAATTAATGTATTTAAAGCACATGTGAAAAAGCTCTTATTTGTTTTATTGATTGAAAAATGAAAATACCAATTTTATCAGTTCTTAAATACTCATCATGAAGTATCATTCTTTATAATATTTTGAATAAATCAGCTGTTTTTCTCTATTCATGGAGTTAATTAAAATATAACTTAAGTCAATAGTATACCTTAAAATACATTTCCTTGTTCAATAAAAGGGTTACACAAAAGATCACTTTTCTGAACATTTACGATTCATATGTATTATACTGAAAAGAATTTACATATTCATCCATCAAACTTCATAAACTCTGAATTATTTTTCTTGCATGTGTTTGTCATCAAATCACATAATTTTGAAGTACTAAATAAAGTATGATTCAAAGTTTATGTGATCTCTGACGTTTCTTCATTTTCACACTGAAAGCTACTTACTTTTTAAAATGGAACGTGTAGTTGCTTGAACAACCATAACAGGGATGAAATTTGCACGCAAACCATTGACAACTTGAGCTTACAAAATCGTGTACTAATTACGTTTCTGATCTTATGGGCATAACTGGTTTCTATCTACATATCTAAACGTTTTGCCACAAAGCCTACCACTCGATTAATTTGGCTTTTTTATCTGGCTAGCTGAAATACAACGTTAAATTCTTGCCACTACTAATATCACTAAATATAAATTCGACAAACAGTTGGTGAAAGATGGAGTTGGAGCGTATAACCTGGGAATGAGGCATCAACAAACTATTTTCAAGCTTTTACAAAGAAAATTAGTTTCAAACTTAAGTAAATGCACACCATGCTGAGGAACAGTCGTAACTAAAAGAAATTTTAGATATCTAGAAACTTGCAGAAGAAAACACACCACAGTCTTCGATACTGACAAACAAATAACATGTTGTTTGGAACATTTCGCTTTTGATATTACTTACGATTGTAGAACTTATCAAAACAACGGATAGGCAGCAATTTTAAGGATCAAACTAGTCGACACTAACGGCGTTGTTTTAAATAATCCACTTCATAGCTGGAGAAAGTAACTATTTCATCAGCATATTATTCCACTTATTTGTTCTCAAGAGCTACGAATTTCAGTAAAGTGTTAAACTTATTGTTAAATTAAAAACACCAGATAACTCATCGCTAGTCTAGGTTTTATACAAATATTCAAACATTTTTTACAATGGCATCATAACACTTCTCTTAAAATCAAATTACTCTCGCATACCAAAACTACGACTGATGCCTTCTGCGCGCCCAGATTAACTAGACGAATGTGTAGTCAGGACAGTGAACAGCTTACTACTAGTTTGTTTCATGTGAATTAATCATAGAGCCAGT